AAATTGCAATATAACTTTTGTTTTTTGAGAGAAAGGGTCGTGCTCTGTTGCCCAGGGTGGAGTGCAGTGGTATGATCATGGCTCACTGCAGCCTCGACCCCTTACCTCCTAAGTAGCAGGGACTATAGGCATGCACCACCACACCCAGCTAATTTTAAATTTTGTTGTAGAGACCATAGAGATGGGGTCTCCCTATGTTGCCCAGGTTTGTCTCAAACTCCTGAGCACAAGCAATCATCCTGCCTTGGCCTCCCAAAGTGCCAGGATCACAGGTGTGAGCCACTCCATCCAGCCTGATTTTTTTAAAATGGCAATTGTTATTAAAAGTTAATTTAAAAAATTCACATGTAAGTACAAATGGCCAAGCTCTTCCTAATTTAAAAAAAAAAAAAAAAGAGTTGATGGACTTGGGACTCCTAGGAATAAAGACTTATTAAAAGCAGGGTAATTCTAATAAACGGAAACAGTGCAGTGACAGACAGAAGGCCAAAAGAGCAGAACTGAGACTCTAGGTCCCCACACGTGCCACTGCCTGCTCGGTGACAGGGAAGCAGTGCAGGCCACAGAAGCTCCTTCTCATACCTGCTGGACAGTAGGATGACAAGCTGAACCCTAACAAAACTTCACCCCACGTCACAGCATAGCAGAAATAAATCACAGGTAGATTACGGCCAGAAACATGAAAAGTTAAAATAATAAAATCTCTAGATGATAAAAAAGAATATGGAAAAGATTTCTTAAGAGGACTCAAGAAACAATGGCATAAAGAAACAAACAGCAAATGAGCTCCATTAAAGTTAAGAGCTTCTGTTTATCCGAAGACCACGAAGAGTCTTAAACCCAATCACAGAGCTGGAGACAAAATCCGTAATACTCATACCTAATGAAAGACTCTGAGACTCCTAAATATTGATTTAAATAGAGAGAGAGATCCGATAAATAAATGAGCAAACTCATTTTGAAATGGCACTATAAAAGCAAGATTTTGAAACATACGAACTCATTTTCCACCAGGGAAATCAGGGAAATGTAAATTAAAGCACCATTCTATGCTCTGATAGACCCACAAGAATGGCTGGAGGCTTAAAAACGGACAATACCGAATGGAGCCAAGGATGCAGTGCGAATGGAAGCCTCATGCCCTGCTGGTGGGTGTGGACACTGGTAACCACTTTGGAAATTACTTGGTGGCCTTCATTCATTTTCAATAAATGTATTTATTTTTAATGGACACATGGTAATTGTATATATCTGTGGGGTACACTTTGGTGCTTTGATACATGTCTCTGTTGTATGATGATCCCGTCAGGGTATTAGTGTATCTACTGGCAGTGTCGAGAAAGACTATCTCTACATATAGCCTATGACCAGTAAATACAAGATAAACATAAATGTAAATATAAATGTGTATACACATAAACACACATACCTGAAGTAACATATGCCTATGTGCACGAGATGATGACTAAGAGTATAGCAGCAGCATTATTTGTTATGCCTCCAGCTGAGTAACCCATATGTCCATGAACAGTTGATCGGATAAATAAATTGTATTTTTTTTTGAGTGGAATACTGTACGGCAAGAAAATAAAACATGGCAACTACATGCAACAACATGGATGAGACTCCTTGCAAAACGCTGAGTGAAAGAACCCAGAGATCAGGAGTTCCTTTTGTAGGATTCCAAAATAACATTTTCAAAAGGAGAGAAAAGTTATCTCTGGTGCAAGAACTCTGAATAAAGACTGCTTCTCAGGAGGGAAGTGGGGTGGATGCAGCGTGGTTGCAGCATCCCTGGTGAGAGCCGTGTCTTGCATCTGGATCTGGTGCTGTGTTCACTCGGTAAACATGCATTCTGAATGTGTACTGCATTAGCAAATGTTTATTTTAACATATGTAACTGCCACCAAGCCTTAGTAAGCGAAGAATTATAAATATGCTCTGAATTTTCTTGGTGTCTTGGGAGCATTTCTGAAGCTGCATAGACACGGTGCGGCCACTACGCCAGGTGCACCAACCAGCGCCCCTCCCTCTGGCTTCTCCTCAGTTCCCATCCTCAGAAGGCAAACGTCCCCTACTGGTGCCATTTCGCTTCCCACTGATTCTCACAATGGCTGCGTTCATCTCTCCCAACCACCTTTTTCCCTTTCTTATTTTCTTTTTCTCCTTCCCTCTCTCTCCCACCCCATGTCTTTCTGTGGAGTGAGGTTGGCACTTACAGCCATTGCTCAGACATAAGCACGCTTTTGGTCCAGTTAGTAAGCCATCCAAACTCATGTTTGCTGGGTTTCTTGATGATATTCTTCATTACTCACTGCTCATTTAAAATTTTCACTTCCACGTATACTTCTGCCAATGGGCAATGGAAGTAGCGGAAAGTGTGGCTTCTGGAAAGGGGGTCTGGAGACTGCTCATCAGCTCTGTTGGGAAAGGATTTTGGAGGCCACATTCGTCTGATAGTGACGGAGGTGTAAGCTGCATTGATGAGAGATTCTGGGCTTTGCATGTACCAGCTCAGCAACCCTGAAATGTCCAGCGAACTTCCTGGGGCTGCACTCTCTGCCTGGTGAAACTGGGTCAGTGGCAGTACTTACCGGGTGACGTTAACGTGTGTAAAATACTTGGCATGGTGCATGTGAACAGTTACAGTTGTCCCTTGGTGTCCATAGGGGATTGGGTCTAATCCCCACCCCCGACCTTGCCCTCCTTGCCCCATGCCAAAATCCATGAATGTCTAAGTCCCACAGTTGGCCTTTCAGGACCCGTGGATACATGAAGCTGGCCCTCCGTATCTGCAGGCTTCTCATCCTGAGAACAGGCCGTGTTTCTGATCTGTGGTTGAATACCTCGATACAGAGGGCTGACCATAATGAAAAAAATTCTCAGAGAAGTGGACCATGCAGTTGAAACCCGTGTTTTTTGAGGAGCAACTGTGTTGTCCCTGCTGGACTGGCACGAACTGGAGCTGTCTCTGTTGGCCCCTGGGTCACAGGGGCAGCTGTCACAGGACGACTCCTACACAAAGCTGGTCTTATATTTGTTGTGAGAGTCATCATTGCATTTTGGGACTTGTTCTAAGAAATAAGTAGCTCCATTTCCCTGTGTGTAAAGTAAGAACATGGCTGCTGAAGGCTTTCTTGGCTTATGGGGCTATTCTGGAGGAGAAATGTTCAATGCCCACAAAGCATTCTGCTTCCTGGGTATAATTACTGAGACAATGGAGTGCATTATTTTTATAATATGGACTTTAGAATCGACACACTCACACAGCTCTCAGGAAGTGACACTGGACCCTGCTTCTGACGGAAGGATGTGGGATGAGCCCCAATCCTACAACAGCACACCAGCTCTGGATGCTTTTTCTGGCAAACATCACACACTCGGCCACCAGCAGAATGACATCTCACACAGATGTATCCTTTTTTCAGCTCAGAAGTGCCACAGGCAGGTGACTAACAATGCCCACAGATGGAGGAGTGTGCTCTGTGCCCTAAAGGATCAGTGTTCATAGGTGGGATAATTCCTGATGCTCTTGGGTTGCCTAATAAATATGTCACACTGTACACACATGAAGGAAACTGATGTGTATAAAAAATAGGGATTGTTCAATATAGGAAAATCGCTGTACACACATGAAGGAAACTGCTGTGTATAAAAAATAAGGATTGTTCAGTATAGGAAAATAAGATAAACATTTCAGACTTAATTACCTTGGGTCAGCTTACCTCCTTAAATTTTTCCTCTCTTTCTTCTCTTTAGCAACTTGAAAATTTAAACATTTATAATAAAATATAGAGTATAATAGAACAAATATTAATATTGTACCAGCTTTTTGAAATAACTAGAATATGATAGGCCTTCCTCACACTTTTCAAAGTGCAACCCTGTATGAAAGGTAGACTTATTCTTTCTGAGAATTGCCAACCATAGTTGAGATACCTGAACAATAAAAAACACAACTCAATTACATTTGCTGTGTTTCTTAGCTGGATTCTCAACAACTAACTTGTTTATTTTACTTCCAAGTATGGATCTCCTAATGGACTGTTGTTAGGGTCTAGAAATATTCCATTTGTTATATCATTGATCTTATCTGACATTCTGGCAAACATCTGGATTACATTTTAGCAGAGAGAAATAAAATATGCAATGATCGATATACTATTAGAATAAGCTGAATAGCATCCATTTTACTTAGTGCTAATGATACGGAGGACAGATTTAATCCTAATACAGTAATGAGCTCTTCCTATAGAGAAATTGCTGTTCTGGGACCAAAACCGCTACCCCCCAACTCAAATCAAACAACAATTTGATTTGTCAAATCATCTGTAAAATGTCATCATTAGTTACCAAGAGACCCACTAAAGATGTAGGTGGGCAGGGGCTGTCTCACCTCACTTCCAGGGAAGAGTGGACAGCATTTAATAAGCCGTCATCACCACCCCACATGTCACGCTAAGCACTTCACATCTGCCAACACGTTAAGTCCTCACAACGGCCCTCTGAAGGGGGCTTCTTAGTCTCCACACAAAACAGAAGCACAGACAGGTTAAGTACTTTGCCCAAGGTCACACAGCTGCTAAGAGACTGACCCAGAATTTGAGCCCAGACAGCCTGACTCCACCTTCATACTCTTAACACATTGCAGCATCTTGCTAATAGAGCACCTGCAGCCAAAACACAGGAGCTTCTGGATGGCAAGAGCGAGATCATATTTCTTCTCTATTTTCCATGCATTTACATAATGGCTAAGTATTTAATAAATGATAGTTGAGTTGAATTCTTATCCAAGGTCAGTATTATCTCTTTACATGACAAATACAGAGCATGTGAATAAAAATGTCAATGTTAACATCGTATCTCATGGCAGCATTCTCCAAGGGAGTTCAATTGGCTTAGCACACAGAGGGCTCCAGGCTGGGCAGCGCCTAGAAGGCCGAAATGGAAACTTTTCTTGTCTTGTATTCTTTGCAGACTTACTAATTTCTACTCCTTACCTGAAGAGGCACAGAATTATGCTTCCTGTTGCAAGGGACATCAGAGAGACACTGTAGCCCAGGGTGTAAATGGCCTTCACCAGAATATAAAACGTGATCTACAAAGAAAGAAAATGGATCTGTAAGCTGATGGTGACCAGCAGCAGCACCAGACAATGGGAACGGTTCCAACATCCAGCCCTATGCTCTGGCCATGAATGACTCTTGCCTGCCTGGAAGGCATGAGACAGTCTCACTTTATAATTCTACCTCCATCTTGAACCAAAAAATGACACCCACCACTCAGAACATCCTCTTTTTTCTTGTATTTCATCATGAATGACTTTGGATGGTTCCCGTAAAGCACCTCTGTCTGGAGGGAACACGACCCACCACCATCAGGGAAAGCAAAGGAAGAAGCACTGAGCTAAGTTCACAAAGAAAGCTCAGTCTGTCCCCGAGGCAGCACATCCAGCCTTCTGATACTTCAGGTGGACACACAAGTCTGAGTATGTTAAACGCTATGACCTCCAGGCACAGGGCAAGGTGCTCCAGACAGAGGGAGTTGCCTAAGCCACAGCCAGCTGCTGAACTGCAGTATCTTGGAAATTTTATTTCATTAACATTTCTTGGTTTAGCAAGCTTCAAGGCTTAATACTTTTAATCTCCACAAAGTCATCAGGCACAGGAGGGATTCATGATCATCACAGTGGCAGAATCGCTTACAATAGGAATCCTACACAGACAGAACTGGGTCCTCTAGAAGGAAAACCAGTGCCGGTTTGATAAAACCAGCAACACGTGCAGGGCATCACCACCGCTCCCACCACTCCCAAAGCCACTTCCTGATCTGCATTTTTCTTGATAAAGCTAATTCCTATAAAATAAAGAGGTAAACAATCCATGTGTGCTTATATGATGAATTTTATTTTTGCCAAGAGGTCCTGAATCTGTATAGATAAAACGGAACCTCACCTTTACCTTACAATATAAAATTTAAGGCAAAATTCAAAAAGTTACGTTCTTATTAGTTTGACTCTTAATTACAATTTTACTGTTTAATCATTATTTAGAACGTATTAACCCATTTATTTTGCATTGTAGGAATCTCTTCTTGGTAACCTTGACCCTGCTTACTTAGCACTGCTCAGAAAAGAGCCTAAAGTAGTCCTGGCTAGATCCCTCCTCCTCGCTACTCCTCATCCTTCCTGACTCCAGTCCTGAGAACATGTCATTAACCACCATCCTCACCTCACCTAACCACCACTCTCAACTCACCTAACCTATACTCACTTCACCTAACTACCCCCCTTACCTCACCTAGCCACCATCCTCACTTCACCCAACCACCACCCTCACCTCACCTAACCCATATCCACTTCGCCTAACCACTTTCCTTACCTCACCTAGCCACAAGTCTCATCTAACCCACACTCATTTCACATGACCCTCACTCATCTAACCACCATTCTCAACTCATCTAACCATCTCCCCTCACTAACCACCATCTCACTTCACCTAACAACCACCTTCACTTCACCTAACCACTCCTCTCACCTCACCTAACCACCACTCTCAACTCATCTAACCATTTCCCCTCACCTAACCACCATTCTCAACTCATTTAACACATACTCATTTCACTTAACCACCACTCTCACCTCACCTACCAGCAGCCTCGCCTCACCCAACCACCACTCTCAATTCATCTAAGCCATATTCACCTCACGTAGCCATAATTCTTACCTTACCAGTCACCCTCACATCACCTAACAACCACCTCCGCTTCACCTAAATACTTTTCTCAGCTTCTCTAGCCACCCCTCTTAACTCATCCAACCCATAGTCACTTCAATTACCCACCACCCTCACCTCACTTAACCCATATTCACCTCACCTAACCACTAACCTCACCTCACCTAACCACTAAACTCACCTCACCAAACCACCACCCTCACTTCGCCTAACCACCACTCTGAACTCATCTAATCCCTATTCACTTCACCTAACCACAACCTGCACCTTACCTAACCCACTCTCACCTCACCTAACAGCCACCCTCACATCACGTAACCACCACCTTCACTTGCTGATTTCTCAAAGAACTTAGAACTACCATTCAACCTGGCAATACCATTACTGGGTATAAACCCAAAGGAATAGAAATCATCCTACCAAAACGACATGCCCATCAGAGCCCCATTCACAGAGCAAAGACATGGAATCAATATGTGCCCATCTACAGTGGGCTGGATAAAGAATATGTGGTACATACACAGCGTGGAATATTACACAGCCATAAAGACTGAAATCACGTCCTTTAAAGCACCATGGATGCAGCTGGAGACCATCATCCTAAGCCAATTAGCACAGAAACAGAAACAATTAGCGCGTCCATAGCGGGTGAGCGCGCGGGGAGCAGAAAGGAGGCGATGGAGGCGAGGCGGCCGGCGAGGCTGGGTCGGGGAGAAAGGCGGCCCCACGCCGGGGTCCTCTGTCCGGGAGCCGCTGGGTCCTGGGCCCCGTGGCTCGAGTGGGTCCACGGAGGACCCCCAGCTGCCCCCTGCGTGCAGAGCCCTTCGGGACGGGACCGTGCGAGGAGGGATGCAGGACGGGGCGGAAACTGAGTGGAACCGGCGGCTCCCGAGTTGATGGTGTCTGGGTTTGCTACGGGTGGGCATTTCGGTGGGGTGAAGATGGACGGGACCGGAACTGTGGTCTCCGTGGTGGCAGCGAGCTGTGTGCTGGGCTGCGGGTGGAAGCGGCCACGTGCTGTCGCGCGGGGCTTCGAGGGCAGCAGCAGCAGCCGGAGCGCACAGGCCCGGGTTAGGTCCCGAGCGCAGTGGCACTGAGTGGGTCTTGTCAGGTCAGCATCCAGTCCTGCGGCAGAACCAGGGTCCTCTGCCGGCCCCACCTTTACTGACCTCAGCTCTGGCACCGCGTGGCCCCTGGGGCTGCTTGTGCACAGCTGTGCTGGGGGCACCAACCCTCCTTTCCTCAGTCCCTGCGGAGGTTTCGCCTGGAGGCCTGGGCTCTCTGCCTGGCAAGACAGGCTTTGATGAGGTGTGGAAGAAGCTCCTGTGCCAGCTCCGCAGGGGCCTGATGTTCCCCATGTAGATTCTGCATTGCCACCTATACCGACAACCTGCCGACCTTACAGAAGTAGGCGGGGGGAATACCGTGGGCCTTGGAGCCATGGTGGGCCCACCGCACCGGGCCCTGAAAGCTGGGAGGGCGGAAATCAATCTGGTGTCGGAACCCCACACGATTCCTCCTAAACTAAGACTTTCTTGGCTCTCCTAAAGGCCTGATCTCTGGAGAGTGGAAGATCTGAGAGCTGAGAGAGAAGTGTCCGGATGTGTCTGTGCTTCTAAGTTGTTCTAGGACCTCACTTACTGGACTTAGAAAGCCCTGGACAGTGTTATGCTGCTGCTCCCTCTGCCCACCCATCTCCCTCCCTCCCCTCCCCTGCAGTGGCTGCTGCAGGAGGCATCTGCAGGAGATGGGGGCAGGAGGGTGGGGGGTGCTTATTGCCTCCATCCCAGGCTCTGGCCCTCTGTGGCTGCTCAAAATACTACTCTTGCCACGCCCTGGTATCTCGGGTCCCTTCCCTGCCCCTCTGGCCAGGGTTCTGGCTTCCTGTGGCTGGTGAGTGGAGGCTGCACAGTTCTCACAGGGCTTCTTGCCTGCCCAGACCTCTGTAAGGATTCTCTGCATTTAGGCACTTTTCAGTTTTATCTTGGCATGTGACAGCAGTGTCCTGTTTGAACCCTGAATCGACACACTGTTCCTTGCACACACAATAACATTTTTTATGAACTCGAATCCCCATAAAAAGACCATCAAATTGACCAGGAAAATTTTTCAACACCCAGGTTTTAGAACTTGAGATCACACAAGAAACAAGAAGACATCAGGGACACAGTTCTTGAAAGTGCTTTTGCCCTTCCTGCCTCAGAAGCCCCCCACCCAGAAAATACCCTGGTTTCTCTGTGGTGCCCCTGGTCCACCTGTGGTTATGTTCATGACCACAGTGTCCACGACAGAATGCTCAGGGCTGACCCACACATTGTGTTTATTCAGTGAAAGAAGCCACGTAGAGCACAGGGCTGTGAGGTTTGACCTCCTCTGAGACAACAGAAAATGCGGGTGAAGTAAACTCATTTAACCCAACATCTGTTAGATATTAAAAGAAGGATGCTAGGGCAGGTTTTCCTTTAGTGTCCTGCTCCCGCAGCATCTGTGAGATTCCAGGATGCCTGCTCCTGCACTGTCTGTGGGATTCCAGGATGCCTGCTCCCTCAGTGTCTGTGGGATTCCAGGATGCCTGCGCCTGCACTGTCCATGGGATTGCAGGATGCCTGCTTCCACACCATCTGTGGGATTCCAGGATGTCTGCTCCTGCAGCATTCTGTGGGATTCAGGGCACCATCCCATGGATTCCAGGAAAATTGCTTCAAAACCCTTCTATGGCATTTTTGGAGGCCACTCGGCCCAGTCAGCCAGCCTCTGCTCTGGGGCGGCTCGGTGGACCAAGCCGACTTGTCTGCTGCTCTCACAATTCACTCCCTGCATCTTTCTTCATGGTGTGACAACTAGAGCTCAGTGATGATGTTTCAAGCAAAGTTTCCCTATGCTCATTACTACTTGCAAAGCCTCAATCATGGGCTAACACATTTTAAAAAGACAATACTGATAAATACTTAACAAGAAAACTAAATTCATTAGTGTAACTCCTCAAATAGTTCAGGTAATCAAGGTTGACATGAATTTTGATCTGGGAAACTAATGTATGAATAGTTTTAGAAAGGGGATTTTTTGCCTTGTTAAACCTCAGTAGAAAAACCAAGACCCACGCTGAGTGGAACTGCCCTGTGAGTGGGCACTGGTGCTCTCCAACACATGCCTGCCATGTGCAGATACTGAGATCTAAGTTAATTAAACTTATATAAAATTGACACGCCAGTTACTCAGTAGCACCAGCCATATTTCAGTGCTCAAGGCCACATGTCGCCAGTGGCTGCCATACTGAACAAAGCAGATAAAGAACGTTACCATCAGCGTAGACAGTTCTGTTGGCACAGAGACCATACAACCACTATTCACCCACAGGAGCACC